GCTCAGGAGCATGCTTCGGGTCGGCGGTGCAGCGTACGAAAGCCCTTCAGATTCAGGTGGCTCAACATCAACCGGGGAAAAGCGCTGACACCAATGGCATCGTGGAAGAGTATGGCCTTCCGTTCGACATCCAACCGCTGCAGGAGGACCCCACGGCGACAGTGCGCAGAACGCACCCCTTGGGGAGCAATGCCGGGCCTTACTACGGGCCTGACGCCCTGCACGACTGCAACCACGGGGATGACTGCCGCCAAAAGTACGGTGGGATAGACTCATGCGCCCAGCTCTCGGGGGTCAACCTCAACGCGCACGAGCAGAACCATGCGAAGAAGAAAAAATTTCTGCACATGTTGAATGTCATGAAATTTGACCGCTTTGCGTTCATGGTAACTCTGATCAACGAGACCGAGAATGAGGCAATAAACCGCAAATCGGTGGCAAACATGGTCAAGCGTGTTCGAGGCCATGGCTCGGAACGAGTAGAGATTTGCCAGGCTCAGGTTTGGTTCTGCGGCAGATGCTTCTGCCAGAAGTCTCGAATGCGATCATTCGACCAGTTCGGCCGGGTCCGGCTGACCTTTGTTAAGCCATAGCCATACTTTTGGGGGGGCTCGGATGTTGTTGTACGATGTCTCGGATGCTTTGTGGTACGGTGTCCGCTTGAGCTGAACCGCTTGCGCCATTACGTCATTTCGCCCGGTTCGCAGTGGTGGGTAGAGTTAATTTTTTTTTGTAGTCTTTCGGCTGATGGTGTGTCGAGGCTGGTGGTAGGAGTATTCGGCTCCGCGTTTTGGGGGATAGATACGTTTGGTTTTTCTTGAGGGGAATTCATTGGTTTCGCTACACGATAGGGTTGCTTCAAGAACTATTTCCGAGCCCACCGACGTTCCGTTTGTCAGCCTTTCACACCACTTCCAGTACTATCGACTGCTCGCTGTTTTTTGTGTTTCCAAGAGCGCGATGTATCTTTTGCCTTCGAGCCTTGGCTTGAAAGATGCGTATCCAAGGACAACCAGACCTGTTCCCAAATGTGAAAGTAACGAATTGTCGAAGAACCGTTTTTGATCCTATATCGAAAACAAGGCAGACCTACCTACCATTGGGTTCAGCTCATTGCGTTCCATCCGGATGAGGGTAGAAATTATTTTGTGTTCTGTCCAAGAAAGTTGTCTGGTGCCCACTTGGCCACTTGCCCACTTGGCCACTTGGCAATAATTTTCAGGTTGCGTTTTGGCATTCAATACCATTTCGTCCTGGACTTGTGGTACGTACATGCCGTTTCGAGATACCGTCATGGTCGGAGAGATGGCACCGGGTGCGATCGTTTTTTTAAATGTTCTTCCTTGAGTTTTTATCGCGCCCCGGTGCCATGTCTCCGACCCCGGTGCGGGAATGCAATTAGATCTTTTTGATTACATTTTCAAGGCACCCCGGTGCGATCTCTCCGACCGGTGCGATCTCCGATGAAATACACACAGGTGTTGTATGAGTGGGAGCATACCGGTAACGGCAACGTAGGCTGGTACGTAACAGCTTTCCATACAGCGAGTGGTGTCGTGTTTGATGCGAGTTTGGCTATAGAGTGACGACAAGAAAGGATGTCGTTTCCATCTGAGGTACTGGTACATACGGCATCAGTTGTCTTCCGCTTTCGTTTCGGTGTTCCTCTACGGATACCAGTACGTACGAAGCAACGTACGAAGCAACAATAGCTTCGTGTTGTGTAAGGTGGGGTAGGATGTGGCTTGTACGTTGTGTGTCTAGTTGAGAGTATACGGTTGGCAACTTCCATACCAATTCAAATATGAAATCAACTGGCATCCCGTGTGAACCGCGACCATGCATACGTACATGCAGGGGTGGCGCTCCGCTGACACCATCCCCACATGTATAAGGAACACACATGTACCTCACTCCGGCAGCTGAAAATGAGCTCAATCTTTGGGTTTGGCGGTCGGTGTGCGATCTCACTGACCCCGGTGCGTAAATGGATGTAAATCGTGCCGTTCTCGTATTTTTTTAGCAACCCCGTGCCATCTCCCCGACCGGTGCCACCTCTCAGACCGGTCCTATCTCTCCGACTATTACGGTATATATTAAAGCTATGTTGTTTTCTTTCCGCGTTCACCCCTTCTAAACCAAAGCTTAACAAGCAGGCTATCGGCGAGACTATGTCGGCTCCTCTCTCCCCTCCTGCAACTCCCCCTTCAACCAACTTCCCCTTCAACCTACATGAAGTCTACAAGTAAGTATGCTTCAGACAACGTGGCGACGACTCGCTCAAACCTGGTGTATAATATCTCCTCAATATACCCTGCGCAAAAACTTTGGGTTTTTCTCGATAGTTTGACATGGGAAGGTGTTGAATCTAGTATCTGCCATTTGCAACCTACATGGGAGCAGATCATCTGCGATGTGTGCCTGTAAATGCAGCAGCCTACCCGCCTGGACCGATTTCCAAACATCAATTACTCCACGAAGAGAATGCGTGCATGAAACGACTGTTTCAGAAGGCTCTTGACAGAGCGGCTTCAACGCCGCCGTTTCCGGCGCTGCCACGCTTCTGCTGTGAAAGAATGGAGCTTGGAAAATCGGTCGAGGGGGTGTGATATCTTGTGTCATACCTTGTTTAGGTGTAGCCTGAGCCGGAAATGGGTAGGCTTTCGACGCCTTATAGGGTGGCTGTGGGGGATTGGGGGAAACATGCTTCTTCAGACGTCGTATGGGTTGTTGTGCAGTGTTGTGCCTGGTTGGACGTTGGCAAGCTATCAATCTGGAAGCAGATGGCAGCGGCAGATCTGGATGCTGATGCGCCTACCTCTAGCGTTGCGGGGCAATCGGTTGTTTCTTTCGTGTACAGCCAGCGCAGAAAGCGGTTCCGGTCATCTCGAAGCTGTGCAAAGGCCTAGACCTACAGCACCTAGACTCAGCTAGATATTCCACTCGCTCTTCGTACAGCAGCAGTACACGCCCTACCGAACGGCCGGCAGCCCGGTAGCGCGCACATACAAATCGGTGCCCCCGACAACAGTCTACATTGTAGACTAATTGATTGCTTTCGGCGGTCCTGACATGTTTTTCTAGCAGCATTCTTCTCCTCCCCTACACACCATGAGTCCCCTGTGCGCGCAGGAACATACTCCACTGAACATACGAGCAGGCGGGCTCTGCAAGCCTGCACAGCTCGGGCTTCAGTGTGCAAGCTAGCAGAGCTGAGCTAGCCGAGTACCATCTCCAAACCGTCAAGAACCGCGTGCGCGCGCGCCCAAAAAGTACGGCATGCTTTCCGAACCTTCCGGAAACCCTACCCCCGAACCCCCTAAAGATCCTTTCGCACGATTGGTAATCCGACCTCGAAACCATGATGCACCGCGCCGCTTACGACAGCACGTTGACGAACAACAAGGAACAGCAGTGCATAGTAGTGAACGAGGGAAAAGTTTCCACACACCAGCAAACGTTTGGCTCGCCTGGCACACCCGCGTGTGGGAAAGTAGCAGCTCACGGATCGCCCTGCTGCTGAGTGGCAAAACACACCTGCTCTTGTGTGGAGTCGAGTGTCTAAGTGGCCACCCCGCCCCAGCAGTCGGAGACGATGTCGATGAGACTCGCAATGAAGCGGTCTTTGTCAGGGCCGGCGGACTCGGGCGACGACGCGGCGGAAGGATCTGCGGCAGCCGTAGCTTCCCCCGCAGCGCCGGTGGCCAAGAAGAAGAAGAGCAGCACCCCAAAGTGAGCCTTCTCTCGATGACTCTTGTCAACTCCAGCGGCAGCAATTCATCTACACTCCATAGACTACTGCAGCAGCAGGGGTGTCGTGCTGCTCGTACGCGCCTGCGTGTTTGTCCGTTTGAGGAACGTTGCAGAGGCCGAGGAACGACGTGTACTTGCGCGTCCATGCCTTTGCACTGCCGCTTCAGAAATTATAACGTCTGCAGTGCCCCAAAGTCTAGCCCCATTGTTAAATGGGTTTCTTTTAGGGCAAAGCCGGCTCGAGAGCACAAGAGCAGCCAACCCGCGCAAGCCCGACACCCGTTGGTTGCCTAGAGCAACAAACAGAAGTGATGAGGTGCTGCACCTCCGCCGCCATGAGCACAGGATATGTGGTGTGAGGGCCACCTAACTATCTGCAATAGCTCGCGGTCCTGCGGTCTGTAGGATTCAGATGTGCCTGTTTCGCCCGTAGGGATAATTCGCTCAACGCTCGGCACATGCCACGTCCTATTGGCTGCCCTTGGTGATCCCTACGTCGAGGTGGTTACTGTACAGCGGTAGCGTGCAGGACCACGGGGAGATGGTAGGTGGTACAAGTAGTAGGTGGGGGGGACATTGGACGCGCGTTGTTTCTCCCGCTTAGTGGCAATTCCACAGCAGAATAAAGCGCGAAGTTCGTCTGGGCGGGTCGAGCTTTCATTTGCGTCAATGCTGGTCTTTGCGTCCTGTTACACTACAAATGAGGGTGAACAGCAAGGGTCACGCACCCCACACACGCGGCAAGTTGCTTTTTAGAGCAGAGGCCTTCCAAGTAGTATATAGCAAGTTCCCAAGAAGGGAGCGTCTTTCTGTTCCCGTTTGCCCCGTTTTTCTCCGGGCAGTTAATCAGAGTGCCCCCCCTCCCCCCCCCCCCCACCCCCTTTCTTTTACTAAGCCCATTTCGAGCGGCATACAAATACGGTAGTCTAGACGCATAGACTCGTTGTTGCCCACACGTTGGACATCGCCCTGCAGACCTGCAAATGCCAATATGTTGTTGAAGAAGCGTTTTGCTTGAAAATCACAAACGACTTGAAATTGGGTCAGGGGTTTCCGAAGAGGCTTTTTTGGGGCGTTTGATAGGTTCACCGGGAAACAAACGAGAGCACCTGTGGCCACGATGTCGGAGGGCGTTGGATGCAAAAAGTCTTTGAGCAGTCGTGGGACTCCCGACAACGACTCCAGAGGCGTATTTCAAGCTGGCAATGACGAGCGCGAAAAAAGCCGCTGACTCGAAGATTTTGATCGACTTGCACGCCCGTGTGTAGTTGACGCCGCCATGGGCAACACGATCTCGACTCGAAATGTGGCAACGAGCGTCAACCACCTTCGTTTGTCGCGAGGAGCTACACTACTATTGCGATGCGTGACTACCCATCTCTCTCTCCTTCTCTCTCTGGTTCGGCCGTCACTACTGCTGCCTCTTTGTGTATTTTGTGTTCCCAAAACCAAGCTTCCAAGAAGCTTCGGACGACCAACCAACCCACACAGACGTTGGTCAAGCTACCGCGACCGAAATTGATAAGATTTGCTGCGTTTCATGCGGTAAAATTGTAGGACAGAAGTTCGGAGTGTTTGCAGCAGCACGGGACGCGTGTAGGGTTTCGTATCGAGCACGTAGAGTGTTTTGCATAGTGTTTTGGGATACGGCAGGGGAGAGTCATGCGTGCGTAAGTGAATATGATGCTCACCCGTGCCGACCAAAGATTTAATCGTCAAAAGAAACCCAGCGCGCGACCCCCCCCCCCCCCCCCCGATCGCAAGAGGTGAAGAACAGCAGTTCAGAACTCTTTTTTTTGAGAGGTGAAATATGCCGGTGGAGGCAAGAAGATGGTAGGAACGAACGCGTGTCTGAATGGCACGACCGTCGTATGCAAGTGACTGCAGGTGCTAGCAGGGTGGCTAGGGCTTGCCGTTGGGAGGCACACGCATACCAGCTGTAGTCGGCCGGATGGAGAAGAAACTGCGACGAGAAGGAAACCCATCATGCGGCCGAAGAAAATGTTTTTTATGGCTATGCTGTGGGTGGGAATTTTGAGAAGAGAGGGGAATCTTTGAGAACGGGAGATAACACAATTCGATGGATACAACCTACCAGTTTGTAGGTATTATTGTCAGACTTGAAAACAAGGATGAGAATGTAATTCGATCGCTTTTTAACAATAATAGTGGCCAGCACATGGAAGGACAAGAAGCGCCCCGAGTCGTGGTGTTACCCGTAAATATTGCTTCTTCGTTGACCAGATGGCCAAGACAACCTACTAAGCATGCGAACCGCCCCCACCCCTTCCCCCCATACCACGGACCCCCCCCCCCCCCCCCCCCCCC